CATATTAATACCTAGATCTGAGGGGAGAAGGAGGAGGAGGGCACGCGTAGATCCATACCTCCCTCGTTCTACATCACACTAGATCCCATCTTCGCGTGGACCAACCCAACCCATCTCCCCCGTCCCCGCCCCAGAGAGAGAGACGACAGCCAGCGGCCAATGCGACCCCATGGGAAAAGAAGGGTAGAGGATGTCGGGGTGGATGGGCTCTGACGACTGGCCAATCGCTCAACTTCCGTTCCACCATCGTGAAAAAAATTACGAGGGGAAGGAAGGAACGGATGGTGTCCTTGTTACGAAACTAAGCAAGGGTGGCTTGAGATGGGGGGGTACCAGTATGGGGATGAACATGGAGATGCGTGGGGAGGAGACCTGGCGAGCGGCGGCGGTCGAACAAGGTCGTGAAGTGGGCGGCAGCTTGCCCAAATCCGGCCATGGCAACCGCGCGCCGGGGGCGGGTTTGGGGTAGGTTGGGGAAGACTAGGGAGACTACCTAGGAACATAGGAAGACCAGTAGGGAGAGAAGGTGGGAAGAAGGAAGATGTAAAGGCGACGAGGATAGTGCCGGTCAGATCTCCGTCGGTGTTTTCCAGCTCGTACTCATGAGAGCCGCTGTCTATTGTCCATCTTGTCTGTGACCTTCGTCCACCTTCGTAGTTTTTCTCGGGCACACCTATCGTTGTGTCACCGCATAGGACCTATCTAATTATCCACTTTGATAATGCAATGGCAGAGTACACGTTATCCTCTCGGATCTTCGGCATGCTGAAAAAGGAAGGAAAATGTGTTGATGAATTACTCATTGCTGGGACGAGATATCACAATCTGAATCACAGCGAAGAACCGCCGAGTCGAATTGATGTAAGTGAAAGCTGACGGAAAAGCAGGAAAAAAGGGCCCAAGAAAAAGTGAATTAACGGAAAAACGCTCTAATACAAAACTCAAATTTCGAAAGCGTTCACCTGCCCCTCAGAAAGCGAGGATAACCACTGTTTGACATCGGATGACTGGTTGGTTTAGCTCAAGGATAACCGTGGCTATGGGCAGCACGGTCTTCATGCCGCCCTCGTTCGCTTTCATATTTCGACATACGTTAGACTAGCGAGGCAGCCTATACTTGCCTCAACCGACGCGTTGGGATCAAGAGGCTCCCGCAAGTTTCCGTAATGCAACACACCTACATGCCATTCCATGCAGTAAGTTCTCGTGAACTGCTCTATCATTAGCCAAACCGTCAGACGGAGCAACGCCGCTCGTTCCATGGCGCACCGACGGCGTGCGCGAACGTTGATGGTGGTGGTCGGGACAAGAAATACGCCTCAAGTCTTGTTCGCGCCGGCAGGCTGCTGTCCCGCGTCGCTGGATTGGAACCAAGACTTTTCACCAAGGGCGATCAGCCAGCGCCAAGTGACGTGATGTCTCCTCCGGCTGGGCGTCTGGGTTCTGCCAAGAAGGAACCTGAAGAGCTGGCCAAGTCGGGCCTGGCGGCAGGGTTTACTGAAGTACCTTACCCAACGGCATCCAAAGTGGCGGTCCGGCTGACTACTCGCGTGTCCTTGGCTCTCACTGTGAGACAGACTGCAGTAATACGCTACTTGACTACCTGCCCAGACTGTGGGTGAGTTTGTGTGTGCGTTGACTGCGTTGTTCTGTGTGTGTGCGCGCACTATTGTGCCACCCCTGGCTGATGTAGTAGTGGGCTCCGCATTCTCCGCGCTTTGGGGTTTGGAGAAGATGCGATGGTCCAGATGAGCAACCATTTCCCCGCAACACGCCGTTCTGGCACTGCAACCCTCCTCAAAGATTTCTAGAATAATTGGCTGCGATATGACTCGTCAACGGCCGATGTTCGCTAGTCTTGCTGACAAACGGATGAGCTCCAGGAGGAAGAGGGGACCAAGAAGATGGAGAACAGGACTGGAGTATCCGTATGGTGACACGGTCTACGCAGAGGCGGCAAAGCCTACCGCCTTAGAGGAGGGGGGAAGATGAAATCTAAGACAAACCACTCGTAAAAGCCCCATCATCAGCCCATGATCCATGTCCAAAAGGCCGTTTGCGCGCGTGGAACCCAACAAAAACACGCAAGATTTCCCCCCATCCCCATATCTCAAAGTGCTTGTTTCGTCGCTGGCTAAAGTGCTAACGCAAGCTGCCTTGCGTAAAGAACTGGATACCCGACATGTTCGCGCTCCGCAAGCTCGCAGCTCGCAGCTCGCCGCCGGCCGGTGGATCCCGAATGGACCGTTTCGGGCTTAAGTCGACGGGGCCAGCAACTGCCGCTCGGCCATCTTCCGTGAGAGTGAAGACGGCATGCGCCCGCGAGTCTCGAGGCCATTTTGGAATCGAGTCATCGCACCCCGGTCTGCTCCGGTTTATTGATACCTAGAGGTGAAAAGATGCAGAGCGCCAGAGCCAGCGCCCGGCCGGAGACTGGCTAATTCAGCCATTCAGCAGAAGAGCAGCTATTAGCCTCCGACAAGGTCTGGCCCATCGGGGTTCGACCGACGATATTCGCCTCTCTCTCCTCGCTCTCATAGTGAGTCTCGATCTTTTACTCTTTCATCTCCCTCGGCTCGGTGTCCATTTTTTTCGTCTCCTCCCCTCGTTTTAGCCAAATAAGATGAATCTCGTAGTGACTCTGACCCCGTAGAATAAGCTTACATGTCCGTCCTTGGCCAACCAGAGGCACGATAATTTGCGCCGTGATACTTTGATACACCTAGTGATTCGTGAGCTTTGGGGAAGATCCGGCGACGGCGCCAGGGTATCTCGGCCAGATTCCAAGTTTCCCAACCCCGTCCTAGAGCACGGTCATGGTGTCAACCCCAGGTCCCCTTGATGGATCATGGGCCTCCTTTCAACCCCAAAGTCCCCACGGACAAAGCTTCCTTCAATGGGGATGGTATGGGGAAAACTGGAGTTGGAATATCTAAGCGCTCAACTTACAGCTCGCGTGAGGTCTTGACGCTTCCACACACACCAAAAAAGTGATAGGCAGCACAGAACACAGACGCACACCATGTTCTTAAATGGCACATTTCTCAATAACACGGGGCTTCTTGTCACCGCCGACGCGGACGGAGTCCACCCGTCAGGGTCGTCACATGGCGAAGGAAGCGGAGGAAGTCCAACAGGCATCTCCCAGCCACCCAGGATCAAGCATGCAACCTACAGGTTTGCGGGGATTTCACGTCTTGGTAAATTAGACCTCATACGATCGTCCCACGCCGCAGCATGCTAACAAGAAGTTTTTTACTTTGTGAATTATATTGGTCAAATCCTTTACCTGAGAAATTTCCATGTTGGCGAAGAACTAGAGATCCTTCGTCAAAACTCACACCGGCTTCGGAGGGCAAAACAGAGAGCGAGTCCGACTGATCGACGGTTGCAACGCTACTAGCGGCACTTACCAACGGTTCCAGAAACCTGATTTGTATGCTCCCCCGCGCAGATTCTTTGTGACCGCTCCCATGGGCCATTGGTCATGTAACAGTCCATCCTTGGCGCCAAAGTCTCGCCCTTTCTCCGCGTTGCGCCATTCCCCTGGAAATCCGTACAAGATTACTCACCCACGGCCGACACGACTCACATCTTGCTCATCTTTTGGCCAATATCCTCCACATACCCTTGGTGCATGTGGTACAGTGGCTCTCCCCAAAGGCGACAACCCACTCAGCGGCAAAAGCCTCGTCAAATATTTTCAGCAGCATCATCTGCTCGGGGTCCCCGTCCACGCCGCAAACCTCGCACGGCGCGTTGACGGTTCCCTGATCCTCGGCGGACAGCGTGGTGATGTTCTTACATGAGCCGAAGAAGCACAAGCACTGCCCCCGGGCCGATGAGCAGACTTCGCGGCGTACCACCGCGACGTGGGCACCCTTGCATCCGTCACGCGGAGTGTTCCCGCCCACGGCGCCGGTGCAATTTGCGGAGGCGATCCACTGGATGCACATGGCTGGTACGGACGGTCTTTCTCTTCTTTTTTCTGTTGAGTTTTTGGCTGCTATTGTATGTGTGAGATCTGAACGTGATAATCAGTTCGTATGTCGTATCCAAAATTTACTTGATGTATTGCAATTGAACTTGGGCAGGCAGGGGACGCTTGCTGATACTAGCCAACTAAATACCTTTACCACTCGATGACTCTTGCTGGACAGATTCTTAGTTGGTGTGTCAAACAATAGTTTTGTCCGTCACTGACCTACCCCTCGACTCAATCGCCATCTTGTTTGTTTGATGAGCAGATTTGATTAACAACTGATGCCTTTGGTCTTTGGGTCGGAACACACAGATATCCGTGCACAATGGCCAGGTTTCCAATATCCTTTCTCTTTGTTTGGTTAACTGTGTTCTGTTAGAGCAGAACATCGCATGCTTTTAAGCATCCGGTGAAAGTCGACGTTCACAAAAGAACGCCAAGAAACCTTGGCAACCGTCGGTCCAAGCCACTTGGCATCGCCAAGATGGGCTCCAGCTAGAGCCTCAACTCCAATGACCCGCATCTACACTTCTCATACAACCCGTCTGATACTATTTTCCTCTTCTATCTAGAGACCAATATGCCCCAGTGGGATGCTGCAGCGGGCACATCCTCCCGCAACCTAATCGAGACATGACATGAACCATCACCCCCGGCCCGCGGCCGCCATCTCATCAACGAAGGTGCCGCATAGCCGGCCCAAAACGTGTCAATCCGTCAAGCAACCCGCGGCGCCGGAGTAATCCTCCTCCACCACAAAATTCTCCGCAACCTGTCAAAATGCTCGCTTCCCCGGACCAGGCAAAGTGTCATGCCATGTTACTCCTTCCTTCCCCATGGGCCATGACGGGGGTGAGATAAACGAATCACCCCCTCCGAGTTGAGGAACATGACCCCCGGTTCTTAGAAAACGCACGCCACTTATACCCCTTTGATCCGCGAACTGCGTGCTCGCTTGAGTGTTGTTACCGCGCCGCCCCCAACGTTTCCCCAACACGACCCTTTACCCTGTATAGAGTCACGTTCCTCCAAATTCCAAAAGAACTTCCCTTGCCCTTACCGTCCTGTCGTCGTCGTACCCCGCAAACTGCACCAGCTTCTCCACCGCCAACTCTGCATACTTCTTACTTAACTCCATCTCCCCCATATTGCGGTACACCTCAGCAACTATGCCGTAGAACTCGCCCGCCTGCGCTGTCAACCCTTCTTTCGCCATGACGTCCTCAAGCTCGTCGATCAGCTCCGCTACTAAAGATTGCGAGCCTGCGAGGGCCGGGTCCTCGAGCTCCGACAAGATCTCCGACAGCCGTCTGCGGTAGGCATCTGAGATGGCCAGCACTTCGGGAGGGGAACTACAGAGCGAGCAGGTGCAGTTGAAACCCCATTCCTGGAGGGCCTTCTGCCGGTCTTGGTATAGCATGTTTAGCATCGAGTCTGTATGTTCCCGGCATTAGCCCTGTTCAAATGGCTATGCGGGACGGATTCAGGGTTCTGACAACTGATGCTTAGTTCCTCGCCCGGCAAGATGTCTTGGTACGCCACAACTTCTAGTTCTAAAGTCCGGGGCGAGAAGCGTGTGATTGCACTAGCTTCCGGTAAGCACTCTATCTTAAAGTTGCCTGGAGTTCAAGTTGGGTGCAGGCGTACTTTGGCTTACAGGCATGATTGACTCTCTACTGGATATCAGTGAAGCTGGAACAAGATGCTAGAAGATAATCACCTACCGCGACATTTGGAAACAGTCCAAGATGGGCAGCGTTATTGAAGCTTGCGCCAAATGTGTTCGTCCGGATAATATCTTCCAGGACATGGCCCCCGGTGCTCCTTGAAAGATCAAATACTCTTTGCTGATCCTCTCTCGGCAGCAGAATAAAGCCCTCCTCCAGCACCCAAAGAGCCTGCATCCAGCTAATCGACGCAGGCACTTGCGCCAATTGCATAATCATGGGGTATTCCCTGAAGATGACATCTCCCGCGCGGATGTGGGTGTTTGCGACGGCTCCTAAACCTTTACCCGGTATCGTCTCAACCTCGAAGGGGAGTGGGTCGGCCGTCTCAAGTGAAGGTTGAATATTGGCCCGTTGGGAGCCAATACTCTCAACGAGACTGACATCGCCAATTGCAACCTCTGGACTCGTGATGATGAGAAGAGCTTTGTTCCCCCGAAAGTCTTCTTTGATGAAAGCGCAGTGTTGTAGTGTCTTGTTTGACTTTGGGCCGACACATACCGGCTTTTGCGTCCACGGGTGCCATTCTGTGACCTGGGCAGCCTTCCCTGAACTGTAATTGAATGGGCATTGCTGTTGAAATTCGGCATTAGTGAGTGGGCTAGGAACGATCAAAGAGAATTGAGCATCAGCGTTGCCGAGAAGAGCCATTGACGAAACAATAGTCGTAACCACTAAGAGGCAACTCCAAGGCGGTATAATAAGCGAAGACAACCCCATCATAACCACAATAAAGACAGCACAATTCGGGTTCAGTGGATAAACCCGATACTCGAAACGGCATGATCTTATAGTCCTGCCAAGCAACGGGAGCCTCGCCACCACCAGTATAACTGACCAATCGACATAATTGCCGCTGCCACCCTCCTTTGCAAAATAAGCGTAGCAATTAGGCTCAACCCGCGATGCTGCAACCCCTTGCGACGATCGCTTTTCTCGGCGCAGAATCTCGCTAGGCTCAGATAGCTCCCGCTTCCTCCGTTTCTGCAAGGATCGGAGCGTCAAAGGCCGCGATGCCAAGTTCTGCCAAGATGCTTGGTTTTTTGGAGAACGTTGTCGCGTGGCACCTTCTCTGAGCTGGGCTAGGCAAGACTTGTGAGATGGAGGGGAACCCTGCAGCCATGGCGAAATGTGAGTAGTTTCTTGGAGGTAAGTGAGTCTTGTTGGGCTCCTTAATGACGAGGCCAAGACCAGAGATAGGGGGATGATCTGTGGTGATCGGGGGATGAATATCACCAAAAAGTACAGCTCGGATCACAACGAGGATATATATAGCCGGTGATATTCAAATTCATTCGCTTGGCTTTGAATACAGCAGACTTGAGCATAGAACGAGCAAAAAAGATGATTGCTAGTTCAATCGCTGACGGGAATTGAGCCCGACGTGGCTGGTTATTGTTAGTCCTCTGTGTGGTGATATTCAGGATGGGTATCTGTTGCTTACGGGTCGAACCCACAACCTTGAGATTAAGAGTCTCACGCTCTACCGATTGAGCTAGCCGGGCAATTGATGCGGTTGATGAAGATTTAGTTGGTGGATTGAAGCTCATGACTTCCTGGTTGTGCGTGAGGTGAGGGCACGATCCACATTCAACACCAAGGGTATCCATCTTGGACCTTCCGGACGACCCGGGCCTCGGCGGGTCGGGGTGTGGGCCCTCTTTCGGGATGGCGGTTTGACTTTCCCGGCCTGTAGTAGGATAGGGGGCGGCTTTAAGATGTTCTAATCCATGAGAATAATTTTGTTTCTAGCTCTTGCCTCTATGTCTTTTGTACCTACAAGGGACGAGATCACGGGTAGATTATAGCATTAGGAAGCTCAAGACGGGTACTAGCTTATATGTTGTGAATGTTGCAATCATCCACTCCGCATACTACACAACGTGGCAAATTTACACAAGAGATCGAAGCCTCATCCAAGTAGTATGTGGCATAAGATTCTGACATGTAGCGTTCGTTTTGAGTTTCGTTGATTCTCTGCGTAATTCCTTGCCTTCTAGATTCTAGTTTATCTACGGCAATGTGTATCCTCCATCAATAACCAGATTTGCGCCTAGTTCTGTTAGCTGATATGACAACATAATGTTATATGGAATTGAGGAGAAATACCTGTCATGTAACTGCTCGCACCGCTTGCCAAATAGACATAAGATCCTTTCAATTCAGCAGGCTCGCAGAGTCGACCACCTGGAATCATGGAGAACCACTTCTTCCTCCACTCCTCGGGATGTACCGAAAGCACTGTCAATGTCAGATTTTCATCACTCCATAGACTCAAGGTATCGAGATTGAACTTACTGTCCGTTGCAATGAAACCAGGAGACACGCAGTTCACTCTCGCAAAGTCAACCCACTCGACAGACAACGACTTGGCCAAGTGCACCACCGCCGCCTTACTAGCATTATACGCCGCCTGCTTCTGCGGTACGTTCACCAAGATGGCGGAAACCGAAGCCGTGAAGATGATGCTTCCTCGACCATCACTGCCACCTTTCAACTGCCTTTCAAAGACCTTGGCAGCAGCTTGCGCAGTCCAGAATGCCCCGTGGAAGTTGACGTCCAGCATGTCACGGAACTTGTCCTCTGGGTATTCGATGGCGGGGATGTGGTCCGCGATCCCGGCATTGGCAACGACAACGTCGAGCTTGCCGTCTCCAACTTCCTTTGTCGCAGTCTCAATGACGGATTCCACTTCCGCTCTGTTGCGGACGTTGCATTTGTACGCTTTAACAAGCACTCCGTTGCCTGATTCAGATAGTTTGGCGGCCGTGGCATCGGCTTCTACAGGGTCGGTGCTGGTGTATGTGATTGCGACCTTGGCACCGGCCTCGGCAAGTCCACGCGCAACTTCCAAGCCGATGCCTCGGGTTCCGCCGGTGACTATGGCTGTCTTGCCGGTCAGGTCAAAATGCGCGATAACGGGCGCTGTCGGGTTTGGGTGGCTTGGAAGAACCATCTTGAATATTCTGTTGCGTCTCGGGAACTAAGAGGCTGTTGGTGGGTTGATGGCAAGGGTGAAACTGTGATGTGATGGCCTGACTTGTTGTTTGCTGGCCAGCTTAGAGCTGCAACAGAGAAATTTGTACCGGAATTACTTGTGAAGTGATGGATTAGAGAACCACAATACATTCACCGGCGAATGAGGCCGGTGGTTGACAGTCTCCCGGAGCGGGAGGGGTCAATTCGATGCGGGGAAGAAACAGCACTACGGGCGTCTGTGACCCCGGCTGCCTTTCTACCTAGTTTGGTACTGACTCTGGATTACGCACGACGATTGTTCTTATATTTTCAAGCGGGTAGGGTATAATTAGCTCACTAGGATCGATACGAAACATGAGAAAATGCATCAGATGTTCAGGATAGACTGGTGGTGATAGACAGTGGACGGGAACTCGTCACTGACCACATGTTGTGCAATTAGATCAGTGTCGTAAAACATACAAGTGGGTTCACCCATTCTGAGCAGTGACAAATACAGAAATCCAAGGTTAGTCGAATGCTAGGTCACATGGGTTGCAGAGGGCCTTCAGGCTTTTGAGACGAATGTTTCATCGATATTCCAATGACTACCTACAGGAAATACCCGACTATTTGGGTACACCTTCTATCACTACCTTGAGAGTGTTCTCTTTGGCCTGCCTCACAACCTCGAACGCCTCAAGAGCTTCCTCGAATCTGTAGCGATGCGTGATCAATTTCCTTGGATGAACCTTTCCACTGGCAACGAGATTGACAGCCTCGGGATAGCATCCTGTCTGATATCGGATCGACCCCTTAATGGTCAAAGCTCGGATACAAGCTGTCGTGATGGGAAATACGATGTTCTAGTTTCATGTCAGCAAAAGGTTTTCTCTATCTGGTACCCATGTATTGGAGAACAAACCTCTTTCCCCATACCAGCTTGAACAAATGTTCCGCCTTTCTTCGCGGCGAACACGCCAGCCTGAATACACTGCTCCGCGCCCGTACACTCCAGAACAACATCAGCTCCTTCTCCAAGACCATAGTCTCTCACAATCTTCTCCCCAATCGCGCGAGCAGCGTCAACGGGGTCTTCAGGGGCGTCAGGTAGCTTCTTCGAGACGTAGACATCGTCGGCAGCAAACTCCCTCGCAAACTGGGCGCGAGACTCAGAAACGTCAACGCCAATAACCTTTGCTGCCCCATACGCCTTGGCAACAGCCTGGCACAGAACACCAATGGGTCCGCAGCCAAACACGAGAACCGTCTGGCCACCCTTCAGCTCCGCTACTTTGCAAATTTGGACGGCGACCGCAACTGGCTCTACCAAAGCCCCGTCTTCGGAAGACATATGCTCCGGGATGGGGTAAGTGTAATCACTGGCCACAATATAGTACTTCTGCAGCGTACCATCCCAGGGAGGCGTTGCCGCAAAGACTGTGTCTGCACATAGGTTGTATGAACCTGATCGGCAGTAATCGCAGCTATGGATATTGTCAGAAACGGCCACTTGCCTATATCTAGGGTTGGAGAAAGACTCACTGCCGACACGGTACACCTGGCTCTATCGCTACGCGGTCGCCAACTTTGACATTCTTGACCTTGCCTCCGACCTCCACAATGGTTCCCGAGCTTTCATGTCCCAGAACGATTGGCGACTCTAGGATGAAGTCACCGATCCGGCCTCGCTGCCAGTAGTGCACATCGCTACCACAGATGCCCGTCTGCTCGATGTGAACTCGGACGTCGTGTTCATCGCGAAGTGCTGGGACTTTACGGTTCTCGAATGAGACGTTTTTTACAGAATGAAGCACGAAAGCAGGGTTCTGGGTAGGGTATCAGCGAGATTCAGAGGGCAGTGGCAGTTAATAGGTACATACAATTTCGGACATTTTGGGTTGATTCCTTGCAAGGACTAGATACGCGAGACTGAGATGACCTTCAAGATCTAGATATCTTTAATCATCTTTTAGTGTTCAGTCTGGAATCATCTTAATGTGTGCGGAGGTGAAGCATGGGCCATGGCCGTGACGTCGAGGACGGGGTGGGACCGCCGTGCAGGGCCGGACAATGAATTGAACTCGGGCGACAGTAGTCCGATGAGCATTGAGCGCCGGACAGGTAGAGTCCAGATTATCAGAAGTACTTTGCATACTTCAGGGACTTCTTCTTGCTGAAAGGCCAGGTCAATCTCTGAAATCTACTGATAAAAGTCATTATTTTCTAGGCTCGTTGTGTCCGGGAAGTCAACTTCCCCCAGACTTTGCGATATCTACAGACTGTCGTAGCACCTACTCAAGTATGGAGTCTACATATCATACCCTTGTTCAGCGCATCATTTCCAAATGGGCTGAGAAGAGGCGCACATCACCCGACACCTCCAATGCACATCCCCGCCTCATCATCGCCCTCGCAGGGCCACCAGGGTCCGGAAAGACAACCATCGCCCAGAAAGTCGTCTCCGCCATCAACGCCTCCCCGGAACCCCACCCAAAGTCGATTGTCCTATCTGCGGACGGCTTTCACCTACCCCTCGCAGCTCTCCGGGCGCTTCCTAATGCGGCAGAAGCAATCGCCCGGCGTGGGGCACCCTGGACCTTTGACGGCCAAGCCGCCGTCGACCTCGTCCGGCAGTTGCGGGCTTCAGCAGGACTGCGACCCGTTCTTGCACCGACCTTCGACCACAAGGTAAAGGATCCGGTTCCCAATGGGTTTACTGTAGAGGCAGATGTTCAGGTTTGCATTGTTGAGGGCAATTACTTGCTCGTGGACGAAGAGCCCTGGAACCAGATTGCCGATTTGGTAGATGAACGGTGGCTCGTAAGGGTTGAACCTACACTGGCACGGAGTCGCGTTGCCGCGCGGCATATTGCAGCTGGCATTGAAGACAGTATGGAAAGAGCCCTTTTCAGGGCAGAGAGTAATGACATGGTCAATGGGGAATTTGTTGACAGGCACAGTCAGGGTAGATACGACGTATTGATCGATAGCATAGAAGAGTTACCTAATTGAGAAACGCCTTAGATCAAACTCTCGCGGATGACAGGCCGGAATAGCGTACTGGAACAAGGGTGACAGAAATCCGGCTGTTTCTACTACCTGGCAACCGGAGGAACCTTACCGAAGGTAGCTTCTCGGGCCTGTATAATTCTAGCTCATTGTTCGAGACCAACACAAAATGGGCGAGGAGGTTGTGATTGAAGCCAGGTATTTGAACGCCTTTCATGAGCAGCTTGAACAGAAGGAACTCTATCGCCAACGATATCAGAACTATCAGACCTACTTTCTTCCGATTGGCATTTTCGTCCATCCCCTCTTTCAGGTCATCAGTCAAGCAAGATGGCAACAAACGGCTCCGCAAATGGAACGAAGAAGTCCATCAGAGCCCCAAACCCGCCTATTGAGGATAGTGTCTTCAAACAGTTCCGCTTAGATGGAAGAACGGTCATTATCACTGGTGGAGCAGGCGGCATAGGATCAGAAATCGCCAGGGGTCTTGCCGAAGCCGGTGCCAACGTATTCTGAACCTTGCCCCCAGTTCAGTACACACATGGCTAACACGGACATCATCTGCAGATTGCCATATGGTACAACAGCTCCAAAGCCGCCGTCTTCATTGCCGCATCCATTGCAGAGGAATTTGGAGTCAAGACGAAGACTTATCAAGTCGATGTCACCAGCTACCCTGCCGTCGAGGCAGCCGTGGCAGAAGCGGTCAAGGACTTTGGGCGTCTAGATGTCATGATCGCCAACGCCGGAATTCCGTCCAAAGCTGGGGGCCTTGACGATAAGGTCGAGGATTGGGATCGTGTGCGTGCAGTCGACTTTGACGGCGCGTACTACTGTATGAGGGCGGCTGGGCTCGTGTTTCGGGAGCAGAAGAGGGGCGTGGGCATCATCACTGCGTCCATGAGTGGTCACGCTGCGAATGTACCGCAAGAGCAGAGCTGCTACAATGCTTGCAAGGCAGGAACCGTACGATTATGCCATCTTCTTCAAAATACCTGACGAGGGCATTCTGGCTAACAGTAAAGAATTCTAGATTCACCTGGCGCGTTCTTTGGCTGTTGAGTGGGCCAAGTGGGGAGGACGCATCAACTCAGTGTCTCCTGGTTACATCGATACCGTCATCTCGGGTGATTGTCCGTTCGAGATGAAAGAGGAGTGGTTTAGTTTGACACCTCTGCGCAGAGATGCTGATCCGAGGGAGTTGAAGGGCGTTTACCTGTACCTAGCGAGTGATGCTAGTTCCTACACAACTGGGGCCGACTTCATCGTGGATGGTGGTTACACGGCACGGTGATCTAGGATAGCCTAATACATCAAAGCCCGGTTGATTAAACTTCAACCGATGCATCTAGAATAGGCTTCTGTCATTAAACCTTCTGGAATCTAACTCGATATGCTCATTTATTGATCTAACGATATTGTTTGAACTTTTTTGCCAGAGCCACTTCGAAGAATATTCGAACTAAAGAACCAACCCCATCAACTGCTATATGGTGTGAGTACGTGAAGTATGTACGTACTTTTAGATGGCGTAATCCTGACATATTGACATATCAATCGACCTTATTTTCCCTTCTATTCGTCTGTAAATAATTTTGACCTAAATCAGCCATTGGAGAAAGATTAAAGACGGATACACCGAGGCTATCTAAGGTAGCATTTGACGGGATAGAATCAGTTGGGAAGTAGCCGACGTTCTATTTTTTTATTTTATATTTAGCGTTAAGGGTACATGCTAAGGTAAGTCAAGACCATAAGTGATTTTCTCGAAGGTATTGTCGCCTTTGTTCTTGGACTAAACGAATCTCTTAATTCGGAGCTACTAGGCATTGGCTTTTCTCACTCTTCACTTTGACTTTGACTTTGACTCAATACTTTATGATGGCGGTTGGGTGAAGCAATAGTTCAACTAAGTACATAGCCAAACTAGATCTCATTTCGAGAAGATGGAGGCGTCGATAAGTCCAAGAGTATCAAGTCGAAATCCGATCAAATAGATCTTTGATCTCTTCTGGAGTCTGCTACCCTTGAAATTGCAAACATCTTTCAACCCGGTTCAACCTCGTCGTCGCCCCATGATCGAAAGATCCCGGCGGGCGGCCCCCATCCACCCTCGCCTAAATTCCTTACCAACGACGGCTGCGCGTTATTACCGGGCAAAGCTATCCGAACCTGGACTTGGCAACAGTGCCGCAACTTGCCAATAGCGCCTGCCATTCTTCGTCAACTAACTTATTGACACTCCGCTAGTGCAGGGTGACAGTCGTCCGTCGTCCCCGCACTTTACCAACCGCACGTCAGACTTCCTCGCAATGCCACGCAGAAGCATGACTCGCGTAACAGGATGAATGCCGATGCAACACAGCTTGAGTGATGCAACAGTCGATTACCCCATGGGCGAATCCCCCCGTACTTCCAACGACCCATTTACCACGTTATGTGGGGTAAACGAGCATGCGGAGGATTGCCGGACGCGGTATTCCCAGGTTCCGGCTGCTTGGGAACTATCTTGTTTGCGTACGAAATGCTCCGCGACGAATTGATCACCAGCCCCCAGGGGCTTCCTTCGTTCAGGTGCATGTATAAAGCTCTTGCGGGTCCCGTCGCGAACTATCATCAACTTCCTATTGCTCTGCCTTATCTTGTCCATACATCGCCCGTGAAGACGTCTTCGTATTAGTCAATGTTGCAAAAGCGACCTCGGAAATAAGCCACCATGAAGGACGAGCAGATTGTCGGCGCCGCCTTGGCTGAAGTTCTTCCCAAGACAGACAGATACTGGTTTCAGCAGCCGCATTTGCTCAGATTGAACCTGTTACTCCTGATTCCTCTACTTTCCTCTTCAGTTGCAGGCTACGATGGTAGGCGCAAAGAAAATTCTCAGAATCTTCCTCTCGGTGTACACAACAGCTACTAATACCACATCTTTACGTTGTGTGTAGGCTCCTTGATGAACGGTCTCCAATCCCTTCAACAATGGCGAGAATACTTTGGACATCCGACCGGCGTAAGGCTAGGAGTTGTGAACGCAGCACAATCCATCGGATCCGTCTTAGCTTTACCTATTGTGGGATACCTGGCGGATCGCTTCGGCAGGAAGCCCGTTCTACTATCTGGCATCATCCTCATCATTGTCGCCACAATCATCCAGTCCACCTCGATCAACCTACCCATGTTCATCATCTCGCGGCTAGTTGTCGGCTTCGGCGGCATGTTTGTCGTTCATCCGAGCCCCATGCTCATTGCTGAATTAGCTTGTAAGCACCTGGAGCATGTATGATAAAAAGCTTTGCACTGACGGATGACAAAAAGACCCGACACACCGTGGGAAATACACCTCAGCTTACTGGACTATGTACTATCTCGGTACGTCAGGCTCCCAGGTTCGAATGACTTCTGGCAACTGATTCATTACCTGACAGGTGCGATCTTGGCTTCCTGGACAACTTTCGGCTGCCAAGACTACAAAAGCGAGTGGGCGTGGCGAGTTCCCTCCATCCTTCAAGCCGGCTTCCCACTGGTGCAGCTGTGCTTCTATGCCTGGGTCCCAGAGTCACCCAGATGGCTGGTAGCAAGAGAAAGAACTACAGAGGCTGCCGCAATTCTCGCACAGTATCACTCAGGGATTCATGCCCCATCCGAAGGCCACACACCCCTTGTCCGCCGTGAAGTGGCCGAAATTGTCCAGACAATCCAGCAAGAAAAGTCTGCAGAGACGACGGGCTGGATGGCGTTGGTGTCCACGCCGGGCAATCGCAAGAGAACGCTGATTGCAGTTTGTGTGGGAGCTTTTGCCCAGTAAGTGCTTTTCTGTGGGTTCTTTGGAAGACTAAGTAGTTTACTGATGTGTCCCTCTACAGGTGGAATGGTATTGGTGTAGTCTCGTACTATCTCACACTGGTCCTCAATACCGTCGGCATCACGGACACCTTCACGCAAACCTTGATCAACGGTCTCCTGCAGATCTTCAACTTTGCTGCGGCTTTGAGCGCTGCCTTCCTAGTTGACCGTCTCGGCCGCCGGACTCTATTCCTTTGGTCAGGGGCAGGCATGTTGGTGAGCTACATTGTATGGACAGCCTGCTCAGCTGTCAACACAGATACTGGGTCTAAATCCGCCGGAATTGTTGTTGTCGTTTGCCTCTTCACCTTTTACTTCCATTACGATATCGCTTATACCCCACTCCTGATGGGATATCCGACCGAGATCTTTCCCTACTCTCTACGTTCCAAAGGCATTGCGGTTGAGCTATTCGCAATCTACGGCTCACTGATCATCGCGGCATTCGTCAATCCCATCGGCCTAGAAAACATTGGTTGGCGGTATTACATTGTCTTCTGCTGCTTTCTGGCAGTATTCTTTGTTGTTACGTGGGTCTTGTTCCCAGAGACCAAGGGGCACAGCCTGGAAGAGATTGCGGTGATTTTCGACGGGCCCCAGGCAGTGGAAAACTTTGAGGATGCTTCTGAATTGAAGGAAGAGAAAATACTTGCCAAAGGCGGGCTCCACGATATTGTACACAAGGAGGAAGCATAGTCTAATTTCACCTAACATGTACTTGTAGCTTATAGGGCACGAAGAGCTCTAGATAATGAACTACCTTAGCGAGAAACATCTCAACATGGCGATATAAATTCGATTACAAGAGCGAACAGGTCAATCGCATCGAGGGATCAGCCGGTATGACTCAAGTAACATCCATCAAATGATCTCAATGTTATGTTAGAATCACACCAATAAGCTGTTCTCAGCTTTGCCCGTTGGCTCCGGCCTCAGGAAGGGTTTCAATCCTATCCACAATCGAGAGGTCTACTTATTTCCCTTGTGTCGACTGAGTGCAGCACTGCAGACTAGACGCATAAAACACGCGTTCCATGAACCACCCCAACTGACAGTTCTCTCAGCCATTTTTCAACAGCCGACTAACACCGGACGGAGCTCGGTCGTGCAAGGATTGCATGCCCCCTGATCGCGATCAGATGGTGTTGTGGATCACCGCAGCGCAAGCGTGCGGAGAAAAAGGGCGGGGTTTCACTTGGAGCTCGTTGCTGTTGGAGGCCAACCTCACCTCACCCCCATGCGCGTCAGGCCAACACTTGCTCGATTCTTTGACTGGTCCTGCATGTCATATTATGACGTCCTCAGATACGGAATACACTCGCCCTAGGTCTTCTCAGCCGGCTCCTGTTGCATCGTCACGGTCGGTTACGGCTCCCCGGCCTGGGTTGCGATTTGAATCTAGAGACGGCCTTAACGCTTTACTAAGCGCTGCAGAAAGCCCTGCAGGAGAGTCCTTACCAGCCTCATACCTAACGGAAGATGTCATCCTCAGGTGTGACGGGTGACAATGAGCCGGCACCTCCTCAGCCGAGCAACCTTGACTCTCTCAGCATGGCCTTCCCGTCTGCCGATCAAGCATGCAAGGAGTGCCGGAGACGGAAAGCCAAATGCAACCGGGCGATTCCGACATGCAACTTATGCGTGAAGTACCGCCGGCACTGCCTGTATGAGAAGCACGCCCGCACCCCGTTGACAAGGAAGTATGTAGAACTATTCGCTGTCCCTAGTGCATAACCGTCGAGCGCAAAGGGGCTGTTTACGCTGACATAACGTACTCATGCAGACACCTCACGGAAGTAGAAGAGAGGTTGGAGCGGGCCGAGGCAATCATAACACAGATGAGAGCGTTGATGCCGGCCCAGGTGAGATCGGGATCCGTCCTACAAAGCCCGAGGAACCTGGAAACACCAGCGCCAAGAAGTGATGAAGAAGTCTTTGACTTCTCGAAGCTAGACACACCGGCGCCATCAGATGCGGCTCCCATACCGGCTCCTCTTCCGGCCCTCTCGGCCCAAGGAAGCGACGCGCTTCCACAATGCGAAGCTGTGCATCCTGAGCCGTCACAACCATTCCAACCACCATTGCTACACCAAAATCATGGCCCGGCTTCAGTCCCACCGGCCTCCAATATGAGGTCCGAACCACCACGGGCTTCGAGAACAGCTCAACATAAACCTTACAATGACACATCGCCCAGAGACCTCAACCTCCTCGAGGCTCACCCCACAGATGACTTCGAATGGGACGAGCAAGAGACCCTTACAAACTACTCGGCATCCCCCGAAGCCATCCTAGAAGCCGACTTGAATGGCGAAGTAATCGCAGACCCAATCGCAGACGGCATGGCCTCGCTCGCCGTCAGCGAAAGGGAATCAGGTTACCTCGGCGTCGCCTCCGGCGCAGCCCTCCTCCGTCTCCTGGAACCTTCAACACCAAGACGAAGAGCCCAATCCTCCTCCTCAAGACCAGGTATAGGGGCAGGGCCTCAGCAGCAGCAGCAGCAGCAGCACATTATCAACCACTTACAAAACTCACAGATCGCGCAGCAACCGGATCCCAACAGACACATCACAGACGCAATGATAGACGCCTACTTCCGCCTCTACCACGTAAGCTACCCCATCATCCACGAAGCCACCTTCAGAGCGCAGTACGCCGGCGTCATCCCCCGCCCCAGCGGCGACTGCTGGCTCGTCTTGGCCTACACCGTCGCCGCCATCGGCGTCTACACCACGGCCGCGAACCTTGACAACCTAGACACCTCGCTCTTTGCGCAGGCCCGCTCAATCCTGTCCTTCAACTTCCTCGAGGTGGGCAACTTGACGCTCGTCCAGGCGCTCACCCTCATCTCCAATTACCAGCAGAAGCGGGACAAGCCGAATTCCGGGTACAACTACCTCGGCCTGGCCGTGCGCATGGCCATGGGGCTGGGTCTGCACAAGGAGTTCCAGGGGTGGAATATCTCGCCTTTGAATATGGAGATTCGACGGCGGGTATGGTGGTCGTTGTGTGTGTTCGATGTCGGGGCGACTATCACGTTCAGCAGGCCGTCCGTCTGGCCATACGAAGGCGTTGAGGTCTCGTTACCATTGAACGTCGATGACAAGGTCAATATTCCTGATGGCTTGTATTTGTGTTGGGTTTTACTAACCTCCCTCGTAGTCATTGACCGCCATTTCAAAATCATACCCTCCAGAAACAGACGACATAACTCCCTACACAGCCGTCCGCACACAAGCAAGCTTCCACATCGCCACAACACCAATCTACACGAGGGTAATCTCCAAGCCCCTCCCCTCCCCAGGCGAGATGCTACGACTAGATGAAGACCTCCTTGATCCATGGCTAGCAAGCGTCCCGTCCTACTTCTCCTCCACCAGCCGCGTGCCGCCAAAGTACGCTCTCGCCCACGCAGTCATGAACTGGCGGTACAGAAACCTCCGAATCATCATGTACCGCCCATTCGTCATTCGCCGAGCCTTACAGGCCCGCGACCGACGACCAGATGACTCGCCAGATAACGTTCGCGCCTTTGAAAAGTGTCTGGCAGAGGCCAAGGCAACCATTACCAGCATCAGCGAGTTCTGGCAACGAAACGAGCACAATCGTCTAGGTGCCTGGTACGCCTTGTAAGTAACAGCATCCGCACCAGTCCCTGTCTGGACTTCCTCGACTTACTCACTATCTCCAACCTCTAGATACTTCCTGTTCCAAGCAGCCCTGATACCCTGCATTTGTCTCCGCAACGATCCAGCATCTCCCAACGCCCGAGACTGGCAGGAACAAATCATGACCACAACACGCTGTATAGCCGCCCTCGCCCCCGTGAATTCCAGTTCATCTCGATGCTATCAAGTCATTATTGACCTCTGCGGCCGGTTTCTGGACAGCAGTGACGTTACGATGCCCGTTGACCCAGCTGTGGCAGCTCAGGCAGATTCCACCAGGCCTCCTAGCTACGAGGCCAACGTAGCACAACCTTCGGCTCCTGAACCCATAGATGAAAGCCCTCAAACCCAGATCAATAGCGTATTCTCCATGATGTGGCCCAACGTACCTCCCTTGGAAGCGGCTGACGTCGTCATGGGCGACGACGCGTGGATGGAGTTTCTCAAGGGAGGGACAAGTGGTGATGGTGATGGGATGTGGTTCGGCAGCTAGTTAGTCTGGCCACCTCAGTCAGAAAACGCATCTTTTCAGGAAGACTGGCAGGCAAAGAATATGATATGAGGAGATCCCATGATGGATATTGCGTCCTATCTTCTTTATGACCTCACTCAAGAACTTTCCTCCGGGTCACTCAAAGTTATATTTTCCCCCAGTTCCTCTGTCGACATCAAGCCAGCTCTTATAACATGCCGGAAACCCTTCCCCGAACAGTTTTATTTCAGCAAATCGCGGCATTCAAATGACCGGAGACTTTTCCCCCTCAGTATTGATGTCCTCGTCTGAGGTTGCATCCCTTGCAACAATTCTCATAGCCCACTGAATCTCGTCCCAGGTCGTCTCTCTGATCGACAAAAGCGTTGCTGAACGACCGATTGCAGCTTTCTTATCTTCAGATATCTTGCAAACACAGCGACACAACCTGTCTTTTCCGTCGGGTCCTAGAAGTACCTTGCTCTGGTCATCCACAGGCCCACCACTCTTCCAGCCCCTGAATACGCCACTGAGAAATGGCTGTCGATCGGTAAAGAGATCTCGCAGCTGTACATGTTGTACTCTGGCAACGTTCTCCCGGTTAGAGTAGACGACTCTCGCGAAAAGCTCAAAGAAAACATCCTGCTGCTCCCGGCTACATTTAGCTTGGGCATTGAGGAGCTCTCCAACCCTGAAACAAGTGCGCGTCACTATCGCTGAGGAGAGTCCAACGACCACTGAGCGGTCTCTCATTTTGTCGGGGAAAGGGGGTCTGACTAAGGGCGTCGGATTCCAATGCTCTTTCGGTGCTTCCTTGTTGTTACTTCCAACATTCGATCTAGCCTCATGATCCGGAGAGGCGCCGGCCGCAGTTGCTAAGCATTCTGTGACAAGGTCCCAGTCGACCTCGTCATCAAGAAGATCAGGTTCAGTCAGATCGGTCTTTGAAGCTTCGCTCGTGTTCAGATCAGGCTCGGAAAACTGTAATTTGGAGTCGAAGCTTGAGGCCGATCTCGAATCGCAGTCCATCTTCTGTATGATGCTTGAGGGAGGGAAGCAGAGAGGCTTGTCCCCAGTATCTTCAAGAAGCTGTACCATCTCTTCTTCGTCAAAGCCCTCGAGGCCATAGTCTTCTTCGACATTATCTTCACTCTTGGATGACGATTGGGCGAGGCGATCGACGTTGAGCTCAGGAAATGGCTTACCGGAATCTTCATCTACATTAGACAAGGTCTCAGATGCGGCATCGTGGTATTCACCGAAAGTTTTCTCCACGGGTACGAAACTCTCGCCTCCTACGTTGTCTAGATCTACGTATTCCATCCAGAAGTCTGGCGCCTCGGACTCTGCCACAGAAACATGCGTGACTGTTTGCGTTGATGAGGTCGGCGGTGTCTCCGGTATCTCGACAATGTCATCAGATGGGCTCAGCGGAGTGTGCGGAGACTGCGGGAAGCCTGTGGGAGGGTACTTCTGCCTTGAAGTCGGGACGAGATCCGCTGGAAAGCTGGGCTCGAATGACATCTGAGGCAGGCTCCTATGGTCGAAGATGTCTGGTCCCCCGGAGGCACCGACAGCCAACCGCTTCAACGGAGAAGGAATTGCAACATATGAGTTTGGCGTCAGGGACCGTTTTGAAACTTTGTTGGGCTCGAAACGGCTAGCGACATCTTGCATCGTGGAAGTCTAGTCTATGGTATGTGGTACTTCGAAGGTGTCAGTCTCCTGCTAGGTAGGATGGATGGAGGAAATGCTACTAACCTACTCCTTCCGTGATTTACAAACGTCTTCAACCAGGAGCTAGGATAACATAGATAGAGAGGATATGTAAACAACCGACGTTCTGACCATGGAGCTCTGTGGTAATTGGCAGTGCTATGCGGGAGTAGAGCACGGTGAAAGGCGAGGGACAGGTTTCGAGCAGGCAATGGAAGTTAATGGAATGATGTATTGCTTCTAGGACGGAAGGCGGGTTTCTTCCTTCACGAGAGGTACCTCATCCGGTACTTAGGTCAGACCTTCGGTTCAGGCAGTGACCGCGATGCAGGGCAGGAGCGAGTGCACTTGACCGGATGAAGGAGTTGGTAACGGGAAAGAGCAAGACAACCTGCGCCTCCCCGTCTTTCCTTGTCTCTTGGGTGTCCTTTCCTCGAATCCTCGAAATTGACAGAGGGCAGCAAGAGGAAAGAACTGAGGCGTGATCAAATCTCTGTGTCTTTCCTAAGGCAATGTGTCCTTCCGGGAAACAGCCAGCAAAAAGGAATTTGCAACCCAAAACACCACCATGTATGGTCGGGCATTGCTCCCTTCGACTTTGCGATGCCTTCACCGTGCTATCTGGTCAGATGAGGGCTTGATTTGATTGTGTCTTGGGCTCGCCTGTATGAAAGCCCCAATCTTCTGAAAAGCTATCACTAAGTGCACTGACTCTCGGTCCCGAGCTTCGCTGCCCTTGTCGTTCTCACCAAAGGCCATAGAAGATCCACTGTCTCGTCCTTCCTCAATGATGAGCATCTTGCTCATCTGCCAAACAGCTCTCGCTTGGCAGATGATCTCCGATGGCCGATTCAAGCAACAGGGTTCAGATCCAACTACCACAGTTTGTTTCTTTGTTGACCGTAGCCTGTTAAACTGAACCGCTGACACCTGCTTTACCCCAAACAGGTTACACGATAGGAGGAGATCGCTCTTCATCAACCCAGAGACTTGGGCCATTGTTCACTTGAACATGTGTAGCCTGTTCAAGTTCTCTGGCGAGTTTTCGACATGTGCAACTACAGCCACTGATGTCGATGCCACCGCTGGCACGGCAACACTGAGACATAGACAAGACAACAACGTTGAAGGGTCTCCTCCTCCACCGAGCTAACGACACACCCCGAGAAACCCATTTTGATGAAGACTGGCAATAGTACAATATGGGCTTCCATATCACGTATACATCACAAGATATCCTGCCGAGGACAGAAGGTAGCCCCTCACCGGGAGGAGAGCGCGCGCCGAGGTAAGTCACGAAGCTATTCGCAACCCGTGGCTCGGTCCGCGCAGCGGAGGCACGGGTCGGAAGTGACATCAACCCGCATTCCCGAGCAAGTCAGAAGCTCCAACCGTTAGAAAGCAACAAGATAAAGATCGTCGCTGCCATGCGGTCGATTATCTCGATTTTGTCAATCAGGTACGATGCCGCCGCTTTGGTTTCGATGAGAGTGCTCCCAAAGGGTCCCAAAGAGGACTACGTCAGAACGAGCATGTGCCCCATTTGGGAAGCAAACCCTCACGAAAGCCGCATGGGTCTCGCGCGCTGTCGGGTTGGCGGCCTGTCTCAGCGCCACGAACCTGTCTCTCTGTTCAAAGACTGAGACCGAGCAGCCGCGGCGCCGGGGGATAACCAACAGTGAAGACGGGGGCAGAAAGATGCCTCGGCGGCTCGGACGTTGGCAAGCAATGGGAGAGCGTTTGGCGGATGGCGGGTAGGCCGTCGGCGGTGATGTCAGTCTTTCCAGTCAGGTGAGAGCGCAAAAGAGCGATGGGTTCTGTGTGGTTGGCGCGTTTGAAAGTTAGCTCCCGCGGAAGTTGGGCCATGTGGTTCCGGGAAGCGCTGCGCTGGCGTCCAAGGTGTCAAGGGCTAATCAGTGCTAAGAAGCAACAAGCCGAGGGGTGTGTGGGTGGTGTTGAAGGATGCTCGTTTGGGAGGATTCAAAGTGTAGAAACGAAGGTCCGCACGGGTAGAGGATCGATTAGCCTTTGCTGAAAATAACAACTAATTATCATCCGGTGTTTTGAAATAATACCATTGAATTAATTATTGAATAAAATTGTTCAGAGCTAAGATCCGGCGAGAGACATCGTAAAAGCTGCGTTTGCTCCCCAAGGTTCAATGCCACACATGTCTGCCGGCTTGTTAGTCACCTCAGGCACGGGATGAGATGACACATGCTGGCGCTCTTTGCCATGTGAGGCGCTCACCAATATCCAAACGATGCAATACCACAACGTCCGGGACTTCTCATTGCACGTCCAACCCGTATTTTTGACCACTAGCAGACTCTCAATTCCTCCCGGATCTGACGGAGCGGGGGATCAGCCACTCCCCCGTTACTTCGCATGGGGGGCTGGTGCAGTACAACTCGAGGCGGTGCATCCTCCAAGGTCCCAAAATCGAGGTTGCGAAAGATGCAATGGAACCGTCCCTCGTTGTAAGCCCAGGCAGAAATCAGCTGCAGTCATCGATTGGGAGGATGCCGAGGATTGTATTTGGGGGGGGCAAGGTACTCGTGTGAGGGCAAAGAAGCTACCTTTGGAATCGAACACAACCGAACACGACCCGACTCGACTTGCCGTATTTGACTTTTGAACCTTTAGTCTTTGGGAACCTTTTTGATGTTGAGTCACATCCTGCAAGTAAACGTTCAATAAAGGCTCCTTTTGGGAATCCTTGGGGGTGACCTCAAATAGGTGCGGATTCCAACCAGTCAGTCAAGGCCTTGATGAACACATGGACTGTCTTGCATGAGGTGCCATCAACAAGTGTCAATCCGTCATCCTGGTAGCGATGAGCTTGGAGAGACTGGGTAGAAACCCGTTTATTAATTTTTTTATTCATTTTCAATTTTGTTCTTTTGTTTTCTTGAAATTATGTTGATTTAGCGCTTCGTTGGAGAGACTGTCTCGCTTGCGAACCAGACCCTGGATACTTGTGGAAAGACAAACTACAAGCGAGACTGCCATTGACGGGGCCATGACCACTACCCAGAGCCCATCATCGCTGGCGCAATCCAAAAACGAGAAGTGTCACCGTTGTTCATGAAAGTATTGACAATACCACATTTGGGGTTGTGAGCGCAGACATGGGCATTAAGAAATAACATGAATGTGAGTGTGGCAGTAGGTAGGGGCTGCAAACCGGACGCATCGTACATTTACCCAACATCTTGGGATCAGATATGGACGCATCAGATCTGGTTGATGCAAGCAGAGACATATGACCGGGGACTAACAAAATTGAATCAGGAATAAATAATCAAATGAAATAATTAAATCTGGATAAGCAGAGAATAAAAGGCCAAACAAAGATATTGATTATCTTCAGCTCAATTTCTGGCGTATCATCAACTCACACACCCACACAAATACGGACAAACACACCACCATCTTGAACAGAGCTCCACCGTTTTCCCCAGATGACGGCGACGGGACCAACTACAGGCACAGGTGCTAAAATGGTAGCGCCGACGGTCCGCCACTGTAGCCTCACCCAAAAGGAGTGCTAATCCGCCAGCGCGTCCGTCTTTCTTCCATCCCACCCTTTCCCTTCTTCACCTTTCACTTTTGTTTCCTTCACACCCCCATACGCATCCCAGGCCTGGGCTCCCAACTCCCGTCCCCTCACCGCTCGGGAGGCTGACTTGGACTTGCATATACACCATGGTCACCAGGCCCTCTTCCTGATGCGCTGGCATCTCTCCCTTACTTCCCAGCGTTGCAGTCGCAGTCGCCAGGGCTCTGTTTACCATCTTTACCAGCAGCAACTTCAAGGAATCGTCATCCAAAAGGGCCCTAGAGATAAACTCACCACCACCATGCGACGGAAAACAAGCCTTGACATCTTCTCGATGAATCGGCTGATGAGGCAGGCCGCGCTGCCTATGGCCTCTACTACCACCAAATTGGCCCCCCAAGCTTTCGCAGACGCCTTGGTCGTACCTCATCGACATCGAGATGAGGGAACAGCTGTCACATCCCACGCACGCAGCCTTCCCGAGGCGCCCCCGTACCTACCGTACCGCATCTAAATGAATACCTTGCCGTTTGGTACAAAACAATCTCAACACGATTGATGATGGTGGCGGCCGGGCTGCATTTCCGGTCGGGCACTACACCACCACCCGCTGCATCTCCCGGCGAATCCTCTCCCATGCCTTCCCGCCGCGCCGGTCTGCTGCCAGGACAAGGTGAGCGCTGAGCACGGGGGTTGACAAACACAAGATGCAGAGGATCAGATTCTCCCTTGACCGAATTGCCAGATATCGCAAAACGCCGTTGACAGCCTGTCAACCGCTGTCCGTCCCGTTATCACGTGTGCCCCCGTTTACAGAGCGGTCGCGTCTCGTCCACTCGCCCGTCTCCAACCTGGCAACGTTTCGCTACTCTGATCTCATGTCCCTTTGAAGCTCACCAAGCTTCTGCGCCTTACATGCAACCGCCGTGTTGCTGCATCCGTCGCACTTCCCCGGGCCAACTGGCATTCGATCTCTGTTTCTCTCGATACGAAATGCTCGCTCGCCCAAACCGCAGTGTTTCACACCACAATTGCTGGTAGGCTGATGGTATCTCTGCGACCGGTTTCTCTTTCGCCCTGGCTGGACCGATAGCCTACCGTTCTGCAGACGTCCATCTACGGTTCGAGATACACATGCCAAGTTTTCGAGATCAACTTCGCCGTTGTGCTACCCGTGACGGTGGCGTCTGCTGTACTTCCCAGCAATGCCGGCCAAACGTGCAACTAATTCCCCTCTTTCCTCCCCTCCTTCAATGCAGTACCCGCGATTGTCTCAATTCTAGATGCGTCGTTTTGCCGCCCAAAGGCAGCAGTGATACGGAGAGCTGCTGATAGCCCCTCACGCCTGAACCCTCCACGTTTTCTGGTTACGACAGCAGCAGCGGCACTCCCATACCGGGGGGTCATTTGGTGCCCGCATATGCGGACGAGATGCGAGGCCAGGTGAGGCGGCAAATCGCCGCGCCAGCTGCCGGATTGTCGGTGTGGCTGGGAGCCGGACACAGCTTGTCACGTTCGCAGAAAAGGGCCAATGTCACTGTTACAAAATGCCCCCAAGTACCTCAAATCTCGAGGTTTCTCACCCCCTGCGACATACCAAGAACCAGGACTCGATGTTCCTGCGTCTTGTTAGGCAGCGATTGAGCACCACTTTCGTTGGTTTCCTCGCGGCGGGGGGCTGTTTTCGGTGACATTATTCTCTTTACCGCTCTCTCCAATCTCTTGACCAGGAGGTGTGTTTGTGCTGGGCATCACGTTATTGAGACACGCCAGCTCACGCATATCCGATTGTCATGCAGGGTGTCATCCTTCCTGTGCAGCTGTCATTTTTCTTGCCAGCAAATTTTACCACGGGGGTAAGCTTCGTTCATTCATACTTTGATCATTTTGATCACGGATACTGGCGATGATGCCCAGAATTGCCAAAATTGACACCTGAGTGGGTGCAAGTGAACCTGAATGCCTCATTTGGTTGAGACTTGGACGGTAAGGCTGTTACACGGCGGTACGTAAGGTGGAGCGTAGGCTCCCCGTTTGTATCCTTCATGAACTTCTTTTTTTTAGTTTTTAATATTTAATACCTTTTTAAAAATTGCCGAGAAGGCAACGGTGTTTCAATGTATCAATGTGACTTGAATGGTCAACTCGCTGATTCCCACCGTTTCCAACGCCTTTCAGAGAGATCCAGTTGTGATGAGACCGTCACCGCCTCGCTGGCTTGCCTTGTTCATTCGCAAGACGCGGCAATCTGCAGATGACAGGGTACCAAGTAATGTGCATTATCGCGAATAAGCAGCTACAAAAAGTAGTTGGCCGTAATTTGATTGTAATGTTCGGGGGGTGAATTCCACTGTTTATTTGCTTGTCTTTCTGTACAGGTTATAAGCCATGTAAGTGTCCCGATGCTAATCGGATCCACCTCCGGCTCTTTTGTGGATATCCGGGGCCGAATGGGTCCACTTCAGCTCCGGTTGACGGGAGAGCCGGTTGTCAAGGTAAGGAAGGCACTTGTCGGCCGACCCGAAATCTGCCCGCGTGAATGAATGTCTCCTGAATCATTCTAGCTGAGCGCAATATGTCAAGTGGAATGAGATTACCCGTCTATTAAAAAAACACAGCCAAAGGTAAAAGAAAACATAGAAATTGAAAAGTTAAGAAGGTACCCAGACGAGGGTGTTTCCCAGCGAGCGCGACATTTCCTACAAACGTACCACAGAGAGAGTATCATGAGAATTCCTTTTCTCACTCTTAACTCGCAAGTCTTTGCAATTCAGCTCATCATTCAGGGTATATGTACCACTGCATACAAGCCTACATCTGCTTGACTTGAGGCATCAGCATTGCTAGATATTGAGGAGGGTACACAAGTAGTCACAGCCACTCGACGAACAAGGTGCAAACAATTAATTATCTGCGGCACGGCAAAATTCTCTAGCGCTCCTAGAGCTTTAGTTTGAATTTTGCGTCTCCATTCATGACTGTTCTCTACTATCGAAGATGAGTCGACCGGCGTCGATGCATCTCGTCTGCAGGTGATTGGTGACTGGCAGCAGAAGCAAGACCGTGCACTAACAAGTTTGCCGGTTCCTCCAGCCGAGATCTGTTAGCGTGGACAAGTTGGTGCCCCGTTATGAGTCACGTCGACTAATCGCAGCGCAACGCAACGCCGCTGAAAGTCTCAGCACCCTGTCGTGGCTGCAGATTGGGGAGCGACTCGGAGATTCCACTACATCCGGTCCGGGGCCAAACCCACCTCGTCGTCAATCATCGCCACCCGACTACAAGCGGAATCGTCAAATACAGCCTCTTCGCCTCGACATCATCCCGGACGACCTCTCTTCGACAGCAGCCTTCAATACTCGCCTTTGCCAGCTAAGGTAGCTCATCAAGAGACGGACAAGCACTGCTCCACCCGCAGTTCACCCTTTCTCCCTGTTCTTTTTGCATTTCATCTCGTTCAGCTCATCCACAATTTCCAACGTTGAGCATTTCCAATTCCGTACACCACGATCCAACATGATTTCCCTCACAAATCAAGGCGGCAACACCCACCAGCAGGCCGTTCCCAGGCCTCGCACCGACCGCGTGGTCCCTAAACCCGTCCCGGAGGCTCAGTCCAAGGATCCCCGCGGCTACCAGCTCGAGCAGCTGCGCAAGCGCTACTCGCCCCGTGAATCCACCGCTGCGGACGGCACCACCACATCCCTGGTCTTCCGTATCAAGCCCTCGGATCCGGACTTTCCCTTTGAGCTGGAGCACTTGCAATGCGACCTCCGCGTGCCGGAGGACTACCCCGATGCAACTCCCATCCTGCAAGTGCGGAACAGCGATATCCCGCGCGGCTTCTGCATCAACATTGAGCGGGGGTGGGAAAGGCTCGTGGAGGAACGTCGGGGCGCTACACTTCTCGCCCTCACCTACGCCCTGGACAAGAACCTGGAAAAGTTCCTGTCCGAGCAGGAGGTGGCCACCGTGAAATTGGTCACCTACAAGGACGAGGGCGTGAAGGATACCCGCCACCTCGAGGCCGCCGCCATCGCGGCTATCCCGGGCCCGGCGACCCAGATCACAAAGACGCCATCCCCGGCACCGGCGCCGCCTGTAAGGCACTACACTCCTGAAGAATACTTCACCAAGGAGGAAATGGCAGCTGCCAAAGCTCGGCGCGCGCAGGAGACGCGGCAATTGGAGACGCGCATGGGACGGCTGTCTCTATACCGCCGCTCACCGGACGGCATCGTCTACACACTCCCTCTGGAACCTCGTCGCCGCGCCGAGCTATCTCCCGGATTGCAAGGCGTCAAGACGGTTCATCTTATTGTGCCGCTGCTGTATCCGCTGCAACCGCTGCGTATCCAGCTCAACGAGTGTGACTCGCAAGATGCGGAGCCCTTGGAGGAGCTCTACGTACACAAGGCAGCGGAGCAGAAGCAGATGACTCTCACGAGCCACCTGAACTACTTGGCTCAAAATATGCATGTCTTAGCAAAGCAGGCAGCGGCGCCGCCTAAGCCTGCTGCTGTTGCTCAGCCCGTGTCAACGCAGGAGCCTGAAAAGGATCCCAAGGCAAAGGCACCGGCTATGGACGATGATGACCGCGGCCATATCAAAGTCATCCCGCGTCCACCGGAATGGGGCCGTCCCGGCGCCGCTGAAGATAACACAGATTCATCAGACAGCTATGATTCAGAAGACGACTCGGACGAAGGCGGCGCCGACCTCGACGCAGAACCACCCAGCCTCTCCTCCGGCCTCACCCCAGAAAGGGGCACATCCATCTCCTTCCCGACCATCGAGCTTCACAGCATCGAGCTCTTCCAGGTCTCCATCCTCAATCTGAGCGTAAAATGCTCGCGCTGCAAAACCATCAACGAGATCACCGGCCTCAAGCACGAGGTCCCCCAGACCTCAGCCTGCCGCAAGTGCGCCGCCGGTCTAGCAGCGCAATTCCGCCAAACCCTCGTCCACGCAAACTCGACCCGCGCCGGCTTCGTTGATCTCACGGGCTGCACCGTCTCCGACATGCTCCCCAGCACCTTCATCCCTGTCTGCGCCAAATGCTCCACCGCAAGCCAGGGCCTCGTCGCCGTCCGCGGCGACGCCGTCACGAACGTCTGCCGCGCCTGCCACGGCAAGTTCACATTCAAGATCCCCACCGTCAAGTTCCTGGCACTCTCCGCTGGCGGTCTCGCGGCCCCGACGACGGGACCCATAAAGAAGGCCGAGAAACTCGGACTCCACGCGGGCACCCCGCTCCCGGACCGCGGCGCCTGCGCGCACTACCGCAAAAGCTACCGCTGGTTCCGGTTCTCGTGCTGCGCCAAGGTACACCCGTGCGATCGGTGCCACGATGAGGCGGAGAACCACGTCAACGAGTGGGCGAATCGGATGGTGTGCGGGTGGTGCAGTCGCGAGCAGCGGTATTCGCCCGAGGCGTGCGGGTTCTGTGGCCGGAGCGTCATCGGGCGCAAGGGCAAGGGGTTCTGGGAGGGCGGTAAGGGAACGCGGGACCGTAAGTTGATGAGTCGTAAGGATCCGAGGAAGTTCAAGAGGGTTGGTGGCGGTGCGGCTGCTGCTGCGAAGAAGGACTAAGGGAGGTAGATGATGCATAGCGGTGGTGGTGGGATGATTCAGCTTCCTGATAGGAACACGCACTTTCCATCACTGAACAAACATTGTGGTACCAGAACGTCCGCAGGCCTTATGAGATGTCCAGTGCCCTCTTTCCCTAATAACAAGTATCGGGCTTGGTGACTGAGACTGAGGAGTGAAAGCCGTGAAGTGTTGACTAGTGTATGGTTCTCTACAATCTTCAAGACTCCTGCGTTCGAACCTCGGTCGGCTCCTGTTGTTTTTTTGCCTTTTTCTACCCTTCCATATCTAAGATCGCTAGATACCTCCCCCATATTGACAGTAAACTCATCTCGCCAATACGAAGTAGAATCAAACCAAGAAACACCAGATTCTCAAACGCCAATAGCCCCCTGTCAAACATCAATGGCGGCTCCCGCACACCCTCATGACCACAAGAACGCAACGGTGATGACCATCTCAACTGCCGCCTGCCTCCCTCCGCAAACCCCACGCAAGCGCCGATCCGACGACGACACGTCTTGGGCGGTACACGGCCGGATAACATTCGCTGTGCACAATTGAGTTGTGCAATAATGTCGCTCATGTGCGAGTTGTGTGTGGCTAGGCAAAAGATGTGATGGGAATCATTCTCGATTTATCTCCTTTGCGATTGGACGTTATTCTCGTCCTAAGCCGCCACATGAGGGTTGATTTACGACTTATGATTGGGGTAAAATGGGCACAGCGAATGGAGAGAGGGCTGAGAGTTGTGAGTGGTGGCGCGGTTGGTCGGGAGGTAAGCGCTTCTTACCACCATCACATCTTCGTTCTGGGGCTGAGGTATGACTTGTGACGGGTTTGCCGGGGGGGGGGGGGGGAAGTATTGGAAATGGAAGAGTTCTATTTTTCAAAGTATATCAAGGGTGAAATAATAAAAAATAAAAACAAGAAAACTAAATAAGACCCCTTTCTAAAGAATTTCGAAAAAGAATGTTGGAATAAAAATATTGCAATATTCCGATTGTCGTACCCTAGCTCACCCAAGGTATCTTCCCGATTCTGTACACCCTCTTGAAGAACAATCTCAACGCCACCATCGTCTCCGCGCCCGCCCATCCGCACCAGCCAAATTAGTTCTCTTATACCCCTACCTTGCATCCCCCATCCCGTTGAGAGACCTCCACGCCAGGAACAAAAAGTAAAGAGAACTCATGAGAGGAGAGGAGAGGAGAAAAGCCATGCTTCAAAGTCCGCTATGCGAAAGGAGAAGCCGAAAAGCACATTCCCCTCCATTCATGGTGTTGAAGAAAGCCCACGAACCAGAATCGCGCATTTCCCCCGGGGTAAGGTTCACCGGCTCGCCGGGGGCCACCGGGAGGACGCCCCCGGAGAGCCCAACCCGCTGGATCGACGGAGTCCAGCTCGCGCTAATACCGCTTCCGGAGTTCGGGTCCGTGCTTCTCTGTTTGGGCATATCTTCCTCCCTCATTCCTATGCTCATAGGGAAGAGAAAAGATCAGATCAGATGTGATACCCTGAATCCTTCTGCAATGCCCCCCCCCCCCTGGTGATCACCCCTTGTGCCCCGAGTAGGAACAGACTAGGGAGGCGAACGTGGAAGGACGCGCTATGCAAGTTCCGTATGGAGGGAGAAAACTTGCGCGACGTGAAAGGCTCGGCTGGATGCGAGATTCTGCAGGGAAGGAAGTCTTATGGATGGAAATGGACTGGGCCGGGGGGCTTTGGGACTTTGGCAAGCTGATTCCCGCAAACATGTGATGACACTACAGTAGACCGCTCACCGGTGAGCAAGGGGCGGATATAATGAGTGACCCCATTTCGGTCAACAAACCTCAAAAGTGATCTTCGCGGTTTGCTTAACATTACAGAACCGATTAGGCTTGAAAACGTCCCTTTGTGTGCCATGTCTCTCCCTGAAGCAACGGGGCTCCAACGCCCGTCATCGGCATCCGAAGTGAGCCGTTCTAGTTCGTGGGCTCGCATTTTGAGTTTCGGCGCCGTCTGCCCGGAAGCTCGCCCGCGAGTGCAATAGAGATCTGATAGCTCGCCTGTTAGCTCCAACACAACTCCCCGGTGAACATTTGCCATGTTTTCCTAGCTAGCAGTTCTCATCACGTACCCAAACTCGATTCAAATTAGCAGGAACTCTTTAGCACCATGTCATGAAGATCAAGACGAATGGAAAAATTTGGACTCGAGCCTAGATTGAACGGCTAATCCGCCTTACCACCGGGGAGTTTTTCCCCTAGTGTCGAAATGGCACCGGTCACAGGAGCTACGATAGCGCGAACGCCTGATGGCGAATGAGGTTCAATATCGTCACCACCTTCTTTGCAAGCCTCACAAGACCTTCTCCTATTTCGTTTGAGCGAAGGGAGGTAAAACCGCACCTACAAATGATAACACCGGTATGACGCTCTGACGTTCGTCCCGGCGCATCACCAGGTCCTCGGGGCTGGCTGCCCCGGGATTCCGGCGCGTGTAAGATTGGATCGCACTCCCGGCTCGCGTCGGCAGCCTCGCCGAGAACCGCGTCGAATGCGACCCTCCAACACCTTCCTTCTCTCGCTGAAGAGCGCCAGCTTTCTATCTACCTAGGACATCGTGTGTGTCTTGGTTGGACGGCGCGGACGGCGGACGTTCTGGCCGCTATGCCGTGCAGCTCAGTCACACTGACCGGAAACGCCTCCCCGGATTCTTGGTTGCCAGCCAAATGTGACCATGTGTCTTGGTGGTCTGACGAACTATACAACGGTCTCATCGTGGAGTCTCTCATTGGCGATGATGGCGAACGAACTCAGTGACTCTAAGGCCCGTCTCAAATTTCAGCATTTTTGGCTTTTCACTACCTACCGTTAGCTTGTCTGACCTGCTCTTAGCTGTGTCGTGTGGTATCAACAAGTCATTGCCGTGTTGTGTGTAACCGTAAGCTACAAACGCGTCCTGGTGCGCCTGGCTGCTTGCCCCAGGTTTTCTTCCCCATACCCCAGATTCACCAAGGAACCTCAGAGGCTCAGGAACACACGCCTTTCGTATGCGCGACTCAAGCCGACCATGTCGCGATATGAAGCATACACACCCTAAACCTGCTACTCGCCGCTAGAGTCTTCTTCCGGCAACTTCTCATCATGAGTCGAGCTTCTAAACCCCGCTTCATCAATATCCCAAGGTTATAAACGCCCAATCATGCCGTCATCGAGTTGACTTGTCCGTGTCAAGCAATTGCATGTGAAATGCCTTTTCTGACTCCCAGACAAACAAGCAACGTCGCAAGTTGTGCAATAGGAAAGCAGGAGGAAGCTGTCAATTTTCGACATGTGAAGTTGCCCTAAGCTTCCTGTGCCATGAATCAGCAACCAAGAGCCCGCAGGGTCCTCTGCGACCTCTATAGCAAAGAAAAGACGTATCCGTATGAGAGTAAAAATAAGGTCAAGTCCGTCCCGAATACAGAGCTTCTGTCCGGGGATCCCCATGACCTCGTTCAACATCCCTCCTCCCTCTCTAAATCTTCCTTCAGATCACGATTCCCACCCTCATTCAAGCCAGGCCTCTCATCCGAATTTATTAATGCGAGATTTCTACGAAGCCATACACCGACGAACTCTCGGTTGGGATAACTTGGGATTAAAAGTAAGTTGTAGGTGACTCGCCGAATCCTCCCAGCTCTATGCCTTGCCAGCAACCCGTATTTCCCCGGGTCTTACGTATATCCTGCGATGCTTTCAACTTGGGACGACGGAAAACATGACTCCACTGCAGAGCCCCCCCCCCCCCCTCCCCTCTCCACCTCCGCCCTCCACCCTCTTTGTATCGCGCGACTTTCGTCATGCGCATGCAGGTACGCGTTCGACGAGGAGGAGGTGCTTCATGCGGCGAGGGCCCCGGGGTCTGGACCGGTGGCTCCAGCTTCCCTGTTTAATGTCTTGTATGATTGTCACACGTGATGATTTTTGATGGCTGAGGCTCTGCCTTCCAATCTGCGGCCTGCATGTGGTGTGCTCTTCTCACTGCTGTCATTGCATCCAACTACCAGATGATGTTGACCAAGCAGATTGCAACGCTCTTTGAAGGACCGACTTGCACTAGTTAGCTCTACCCTCTCGTCCCGGAATTGTCCAAAGCGCCGGCAGTCTTCAATCAGCCTGGAAAGGTCCCAAGCGACGCAGTAAATGACCCGATGAATTTCCTCGGGATGGCTGCTATGACCCGATAGCTTCTGGTAAAGTTACCCCACAAAAGGCTTGCAAGAGCCGCTGAAGATGGACATGACAGCTTGCTTCTACCACAGCAACGGATACGGGGAAGAGGGGGGCCATGCCATGCTTGGCCAAAGTTTGGCAAAGTATTCAAGGATCACAATTGCCTGCCGGTCCTGGAGGTTGCACCCATATCATGTGGTTACTTTACGAATTATTCGTACATTGTATTTATTTTTGAGGCTGACAAGTGTGCCCTTTCAAGAACCCAAAACCGTTATCAACCTTCTCTCCGCAAAGAAGAACGGCACACCCCTCTCCCCCTACCATTTTCGACGCCTGACGAACAGCACCCCCCTGTCTTCAACTCGCGCTCGATACAAACAATCCCAGTTTATTGGGAGGAAAGGAGTCAGTCAAACAAGGACTGCCCAACAACACTCGTCTTCAGAGTCCAGACTAACCTCCTTCTCGCTGTGAAATCGGCCGAAATCTTTCTTCACTTCCTCCACACCTTATGAACTCGTGACCGGGACGGTCAATCCCAAGCGCATCCCCATATTGTAGTCGTAAATGCACTAGAATTGAGGCGAACCATGGGCCTGGACAAGTCGTGCCATGTGCACTTTTTCTAGCCCGCAATGGAGCCGCAGTGCTACCGACCCTTTCTCCGACTTGTAGTGTCAGGCAAGGCTGCTAGGAACCATATGATACCGAAGGTAGGCAGCGCGGTCTTGGTGGCTACGTGTACATGAGACTGGCGTGAACTTGATGATGTAGTTTCAATGCTACTCCCGAATC